GGGAAGTGTGCACAGGCATATTGAGGACAGCCTCTTCTGGCTGCAATGTCTTCAGGAAGGGGGTGGAACTCCAATTCTCTATGTCCCTAATAGCACATCCCTGCCACTTTAAAAACCTACCTTCTTTTTTAACCTTCTGATAGACAGGCATTTAAGTGGTTGATTCCTTATGAAAAATCTAAGCATCTCTGCTCCCTACCGCCTACATAATCACATTTTATTTCTTGTCTCTTATTAGTGCTAACATCTGCAGGTAAACAGTCTTAGCATTCGGAGTCTCACCTGCCCCTGCTGCCTATTGCTCCCCTGAAGTCATAATCCCCTGTTTATCACATCAGTATCACTGCCCCAGCACAGCACGCTTGCTTTAAAGGTGCAGAAGAAAACAGCAGGAACAGATGAACTCCAAGAAACAAAGATCCTAATTTCTTACGGCAAGGGACATCCAAAGTCGATGGCTTTGCACATTATACCCTCTTGGAGTCCCAGAGAACAATATACACACGCGAGAAATGTGCTCATGTAAAATAAGCTGGTTTGTCCAAACATCGGGGGAAGGAATGAGGCAGGGGTAAAGTAAGTGCCTCTCAGGTGTCACTCAAAGTAATTGTTAGTGTCTACTAACAGGGTAACATTCGCCGGAAAGAATAAAATATCTCCAGAGCCATCCTTATTAAGCTAAACTTAACAAGAATTTGCACCCAACAGCCGCTGTTCGAGTCACTAATGAAAGTCCCCTTGACCTGGAGACATGCCAACCGGTGCTGATGAGCGGTTTATCGGCTGTCTCCAGGATGAGCTCTTCCCTGTTTTCCTAGAGGTGCAAATGGTCCTGTCGTCTCCTCACTGCCAACATTTCTTTCCCGCACACTGCTCTTTCTGCCCAAAGGTCACAAATGCCCCCATAAAAGCTAAAATCTCCTCTCAAAATAAAAGCCCCTATAAAAGCTGAAATCTCCTCTCAAAATAAAAAACTGAAAAGAGGTACAGCATTGAAAAGCCCAGTCTCACGAGTCACTTGGAGACACAGTGAGTAAAACATTTCCCCAGGCGGTGGTGGTGCGTGCCTTTAATTCCAGCACTCAGGAGGCAGAGGCAGGCAGATCTCTGTGAGTTCGAGGGCAGCCTGGTCTACAGAATGAGTTTTAGGACAGCCAGGAGTGGGAGAAACTCTGTCTCATAAAACCATCCCCCCATTTTTCTTTTCCTTCCTTCCTTCCTTCCTTCCTTCCTTCCTTCCTTCCTTCCTTTCTATTTATTTTTTTTAAATTTTGTTGGTACCAGTAATGTAGTGACTTCAAGGAAAAGGTCACCAGGAGAATCACTATACTTCTGGATCAATTCTAAGATGAGCATGCTCCGTGCACTTGAATTTTGATACGGGTGGCAGTTCTTGATATGTTCTAAGACTTTAAATGCCAACTACTCAAAGCGGATTCTAACTGAGCGACTCATGGAAAGAAGTGTTGTATACAGAGATCTACAGTAAAATTCCCTGTAAGTTTTTATACTTGAATCATAGGAAGCACTTGAAAGACTGGTGAGCACAAAGGCAAGAGGGTCAGCCCGGTGAGTCAAAACAGCCATCCCAGAAGCCCTGGGGGATTCTGCCGGAGGCAGCTGAGGAACGCACAAAATTCTAGCTGTCACAACTCCAGTGACAAACAATTGAGAAGGCAGCAGTATTTTTTAACCTCAAAAGTTTAGTTATCAGCTTTTATTATAAAAATAGTATACGCATACCCCTGTTGGATTTTACTACAAAATAGAATAGGAGAGAGAGAGAACATGTTCTGTGGGAAAGAACATGTACTATTCTTGTCAGGAATCCAAGTTCTACTTCTAGCATCCATATAGTGCAGCTCACAACCGCCTGCAATCCCAGCTTCAGGTGATCTGAAGCTTTGGTCCTCTGTGGGCACCTGCACCCAGGTGCACATACCTGCATACCTACACAGAATTACAAAGTAATTAAAATACAAAGTAAATAAAAATAAACAAACAACTAAAGAACTAGTGAGCTTAAAAAGGTCATCACTGACACATTTTACTTCCACCGAGAAGCTACTAAGTGGACACCCGACAAACAGGGTACACTAGACAGACCCCCAGTCCCCCAGAACAGGGACCAGAGCTCCAGGAGAGCAGGATCTTAACTGTTTGTCTTGTTCTTACAATACTCAACTAACTAGCTAACTTATGGAATAAATATCACTTCTTAGTTGGAGAAATTAAAATTATTTATTCACCTTTGACCTGGATGACTTCAAATACTTATTTGTATAATATGAAACATATATGTTTTTAAGACAGGATAAACTCAGATGAGTAAATGTATATTTTCAATCCTCAAGATCCTCCCCTACTCAGTCCTAGGGTGCCTGGCTAAGTCCCATGTTCTTGAAACTGATCAGCTAATACCTACAAGACAAAGAAATTCAAAACAGAACTAAGGCTATAAAAATGGTGAATAACTTTCTTTTCTATTGGCGAGAAGTAAAGGTTAGATAAAATACAATAGGTGGAAATTCTACAACAGAATAAAATGTTTCAAGGGAAGTCATAAGCTCTACATTATAAAGAATTCATATGTAAACAATAAGCAATAAGAAAAACTGTTTTATAAAAGTAGTCTTGGGCATAGAGATACATTCTCAACTATTTATGAGTGACAGTGTGCTAGGACTAGCTAATTGAAGGAAACAGAAGTGTAAGTTTAAATAAAAGACAGAAGTGGAGGAAGGGAGGTGTAGAGGGAGAAAGAGAAATTATTACTGCCTATTAAGGAGTCAAAATGAGGCAAACATTTACAATGTCTGCAACAATATTCAAGAACCAGACTTGTAAGCAAGAAAGAAAATTATTGGATTAGCAATGTTTATATACTGATACTTTTCCCACACTTTCTTTAAAATTCCATCTATCTAATCGTCTGGCACAATACTTTGCTGCTAATTAATCATCATTGAGGAGGTATTCATAACGTAAAAGAACAACAATTCCACAACAATATTTCAACAAATTTAGATTTTCATGTTTTAACCATAAACAAGCATTGTTAGGCTAATGCTACATTAGAGCCCTTAGAATGAATAAAATAAATAAGTGTTTGTATTCTGATGAGGAAATATGCTCTGTGGTAATGCTCTTGTACACTGTAAAGGTTTGTTACTCATATTGGTATAATAAAATGCTGACTGGCCAGTAGTCAGGCAGGAAGTATAACCAGGGCAACCAGACTAGGAGAATTCTGGGAAGAGGAAAGGCAGAGAAGCAATCATCATCCAGAAGGAGAGAAAGCAAGATGAGAACGCTTTACCGAGAAAAGGTACCAAGCCTGATGGCTAAACATACACAAGAACTGTGGGTTAATTTAAGTTGTAAGAGCTAATTAATAATAAGTCTGAGCTAATAGGTCCAACAGTTTATAATTAATATAAAGCCTCGGTGTGTTTCTTTGGGACCAAATGGCTGCGGGACTGGGAGGAAGAAAAACTTCTGTCTACAGAAATACTTCAGACAGAACTGAGATTATTATATGGACTTGTCTAAACTTACTACTATTACTTTGGTTTTAATATCATTTAGGTATCTTCTTAGAGTATTGTCAGGTAGTGGTTTCCTCTGTCCTCCTGGGAGGAGATAGTTTCTTGAGACTCAGAAAGCTAACAAAGCATACAAGTCTCAGCAAGTTGCAAGATAAAGATGCTGAGATGCTCCCCCTCCTTATAAAAACAGTGGCCCACAGTCAGGTAAAGGAGACTCCCTTTGGAGGAACTGACTGCACGTCGTGCAGTGAACTCTATCTAGCACAGAGCTTTCAAGATCACGGTGGAGCAGACTTTTCTGTGATACAGCTCCCTCTGAGTCACAAATGCCTGGAAACAACTCCAATAAGCTCACTGGCACACTGCTTTAAGCATGACTTGGGTGGAATCCCTTCTTGTGTGTGACTGATGACTCGTCTTATGCGGTCAATGTTTGTTCAAGTCACACCAAGCAAAGGCACACAACAAAACTGGTACTCAAGCAGGGACTACCAGGATCTATGAAGAGTTGCAGGGAGGGCAGTTACATAGTCTTTGCAATGGGTGGGAGAACAGCAACTGGGTCTGATCAATGAGGCTGATTCTGAAATGATTACCCCTCTCCAAGTGGTGTGAGATAGTGACTTCCCTCCTAGAGTGGGAGGTCCATGCCCCTGAAATGGGTGATAAGCCCTGCCACCATATCCAAGCCATCCTAGAGGCGAGTTCCCTCAGGTGGAATCCTACAGTATCTGTCTTCCTCCATGTTGAATAAGGATCTCTTATGAGTATGGGGGATGCTCCCTAAATGGCTGGTAAACACAACATAATGCAATTTCTGAAAATGGCACAAATAGACCAGGATCGTAAGCAGGCTGTTGCTTGGGCATTGCTTTGGTCATAAAACAGGCAACTGACTCTCAGTTGTTTACTTAGAAAGAACCTGCACATGAAAGAGAGAAATTACAATGAGAAAAGACACAGGTGCCAAAAATGAAAGATGGGATGGATGCATTAGCTTGTAGCTGGCAGTATGCAAAGCAAAATAGTAGAACTTAGAACAAGCTTTTCCTGGGATCTAAACATGGAACCCATAGGAAGAGTAAGTTAGGGAAAATATGCCCAATAAAAAGGGAGAGAATGAGATAGAAGCCATCAGAGACACCCCTAGGTCCAAGCTTTAACAAAGAGGACAAGAAAATACCCAATTCAGCATACAAAAGGTCTAATTCAGCAAACTGACAAGCAAGGAACATTCTGCTTCTAAATTGCTTGGGGTGTGAAAACTCCCCAATGTAATGGAGGAGTCACCCACAGCTTGCTTCATAACGCTGTAGGGCATGGAACTGGATGACATCTACCTGAATACCAGAACAGCAGAGAAACTGAATGATACGAAGACCATGCCTCCTTGAGACTAGGGCTGCATGAGCCAAGGAAGTGAGAAAGTCAAGCTCTAATGGACTGGCTCACCTGAGATACCTGGTATCTTCAGTTTCCCGTAAATCTCAGGGGCTGGAGGACATCAAAGTTAGATCCTTTAAGACCCAGGAAGCTAAAAAAAACTTATTGAGCTAGTGAAGTTACAAGATCTACAAGGTCAAGGTCACAAAAGCAGCAAAACAATTGCTTATGGTTGCCAGGCTCCACTGTTAGATGGACGTCCTTCCAGCCTCTATTTCTAATGATCAAGAGATGTTGAAAAAAACATAACACTGTACAGTGAGATTCTCTATGGTTCACTTATGAATGCAGACTTGGGTGGATTTTGGAAGTCACTCTAAGAGGAGGAAGAAACTCGTTCCCCTGGTGAGACCACAGGCTGTATGGGAGCGCTAGGAGAAGGCTGCCAGGAACCTTCACTCATACGGGGCTGGAGGTTTCTGTGGCGCAGCTGCCCTTGAGTCACCCACGCTCTTGTAAGCCACTCCAGCAAATTTAAGGGGTTGCAGATCACAGCTCGGTTGTAATTGTTTGCTCTGTAGTCAGTTCCCTATCTAGGGTGAGCAGATATTTGCTCTCATAAAACCCACACAACAGCTGTTTCCGTTGAATACTTCCCTGATATCCCCGAGCACAAAGGAGTGTGTGGGACCTGTCAAATTTAACATTTAAAAATTTCTGTACGTTTGTGCAATTGGAAACAAGTATTTGATCACATTCCGGCACTGGTATTTGTCAGTTAAAGTGAGGCTAGTCTAACACACTCAATCCAGCTACCTAAGATTCTAGACTACATTTAGGTCATATCTAAACCATCTGTTCTTTCTTCCAGTTGGACTCTGCATCAGAAGTTAGGCTAGACAAAGAAGTGGATCCAAGCAGGCTGTCTGTCTATAGACAGATGGTACCAAAAAATTACAACAATGAGCTACTTAGCTGGTGACCTAAAACAAAAATTAGCCTTGGCTGTATCCACAATAACCTGCAGCTGAGTAAGTGGTGGATCACACACTTTATAATATTATCAGAATACTATCATTCTGAAATACAGGGTAGAGAGCCTCATGGACACCCATTATAACTATATTATAAGCGCTCCGAGCTGTTACCCATTTTATTTAGCATTATGCATTTTTCAAAGGAAATGTATGCCCACACTACATTATTTCCACAGGCTCTACAATTTGGCTGCCTGTTTTATAAGAAAATACTTGGTTGTTTCTACTGTTGAAATTTAGTAACCGGAGAGCATTTTCCTAATTTATCAACTTTCTTAAACCCTAATTAGTGAATATTTGTGATCCTTTCTCACCTTCAAGCACCAACAATCTTGCAACACATCCTACTACACTCTCCAGTGGAGTAAAAAGACTGGCCAATATGAAAAGATTTATTCTCGGTTTTATGGACTTGACTTTCCTTGGCTTATTTGCTGCCCATTTTACAATAAAATTAAGTAATGGAATAGGTTTCCCCTTTTGTCTCTAAAAGTCAACTATATAGGTTCTTCAGTGTCTTCATGCAACTGCTTACTAACATGACTAGTGTGGATCTTTTGTTAGTTATTAGAGAAACAATGGAAGAGAGAAATGAATGCTTCGTTGGCTGCTTTATGGTTGCCATGCTCCATTGTTATATGGACGTCCTTCCAGGCTTTATTTATAATGATGAAGAGATGTTGAAAAAAAAATAACACTGTACAGTGAGATTCTCTACTGGGTCACTGAGGAATGCAGACATAGGGGGATTTTGAAAAATCATGCTGAATCTATGGTGCAATTAATACTTGGCATGAAAACAATAAGAGCTTAATATTTTGCTTTTCAATAACAGGACTTTCCTATATGAGGAAACAAGCATGCCTAGCATGACTTTTCCTAAGTATTCTCTTTAATATATAAAGCGTTTTATAGACAATATTTCTTTGTTTCTTTCTCTCATAAGGTTTAGATTATGGCTAATATCTCATGACACCCAACGTAATACTCCAACAGATATTAAAGCATTTTTTTCAGCCACTTATTCTATAAAATATTAATTGAAAGCCTGTGCATGTACTGTCTACATAGGGGATTGGGTATGAGAGCTTCTGCTCAGGTCTAAGTCAATAACAGACAACACGCAGAGCAACAATCATCATCTCCGGCCCCACCAGCACAGACTACCTGAAGGTGAGGACTGTAAAACTAGACCTTTAAGGACCCAGGACGACACTACAAGCCAGAGGACTTGAGCAACACTTACCAAGGAAGGACAGGTTTTTCTTCAGAAGCAAGTCTCTCAGCAGGACTTCATGCTCATAACCAATAGCACCAGACATTTCAGTTAAGGAGGGAACACAACCGAAGGGCTGAATTATCAGGAAAATTCTAATACCAAGCCTCTATGTTGGGATGAAATAGAGAATTATGGTAATTATACAAAGGATTTCCTAATCAGCTCATACCTCTGAGGAAGAAAATTTCTAGGTGCATTCTTCCCTCATTTAAATAAGTCAGCAGAATTTTTCTATAACACATATATTTTGGCAAACAATGACTTATAAATCACTATGATTTCAATTTCTTCTAAAAAGAGGGAGGTCACTTAAAATATTAATTTGTATTTTTTAAAAAACAGCCCTGCAATTCAATTTAGTATATATTAACTCAACACTCACTAAATACAAGAAAGAACAGTAACTAACCAGTCTTTGCCCTAATGGTTTCCAATCTTAGAGTCTTAGAAACCTGTGAGATCTATTTGCCAGTCATCAGTGCCTGCCTGACTTCCAGGGGGTACAAAGGCTGTTGAGTGTGTGCGTGTGTGTGTGCACGCGTGAACACACACATGAACAAATACACATGTATATGATTAGATGTGCACAGGAACATAAAAGTGTTCCAATGCTTTCTCTACAGCAGACATTATATCAAGTGATTAAGTATGTTATTCCGTCCTCACAAGTAGAAAAGGCTTGTTTTAGCAGGTGGGGAAAAGGATCAGAAGAAACCACACAAAGCCAGTTAGCATGTGGGAAAGCCAAGGATGAGGGGTTGAGGGTACAACATAGTTGTATAGTGTTTGCCTAGCACTCTTGAAAACCAAATTCTATCTCTAGCAATGAAGAAAAACAAACAGGTCAAGCCAGGAAAGAGCTCTATCCAAGGCCTCTGTCTGATCACACACCTTTCCAAAGCATCAGAATTATGTAATACTGCCTACTAGTCAATGCTTCCTAAAGACCACATATGCTTCATGTTAAATCTGTAAGAATTTAGCTAAATGTATAGCCTAAACCTTAATACTAAACACCTGAGATCTTATTTGAATCTTCACAACAACTCATAGAGTAGATAATCTTAGTATAGAGTAGATAATCTTAGTCCCATTTCTCAGTCACATAAAGTAAGGTTCTGAAATGCTGAGGACTATGCTCAAGGTCCTATGGCTCATAAATACTGACGTCAACAGTAATTCTTGGAAGCTTGATCTCTTTTTCGGAAGGAAAGAGTCTATACTACGTCTCAAATGTGTTCCACTATTCTGGTCCTTCATTCGAATGGAAAAAATTTAGTAGAAACAGTCAAGATCTTCTCCGCCATTGTCTACGCCACCCAACCCTACAACATTAACATGGCTGTACAACTCCTTGACTTACCAGAGATGGTTAGTCTCATCATGCACCGGCAACTCATATATCAGTAGTTAAAAAAATCCTAGAAAATTACCCTGCCGTGACTGTCATTTCAATCCAATAATTCAAGAAATACAGTTATTTTTGTCTACCTTCAAAATAAGGCCAAAGTCAGCGTTACTAATGTGCCCTGTTTGTTTTTCTCTTCCAATGTGCATGACTGCATGTACTTAATTTTTACCTAGATATAAAATACAGAAAATAAAAACTTTAAATCGTGGAATTTTGCACATTTTCTAAGTCCATTGAGATATTTGATGGGTAAGTCTCAATTGTCTCACATTACCAGGGTATTCCACATTTTGAAACTAAATTATTTACTTCTTTCCACATAAATGTGCTCTCAATTTTATTGCTGTAAATTATTTACATCTAAAATGTTGAATCATGAAACTGAGGTTACTGATGGCACAGGAATGAAACCCACAGCCCCCATGCTTCCTGAGTCATCCCTCCCCCTCGCTTTTCTGTTAGACCTTTGTCTAATCGCTCTGGCCTACAGCCCCACTTTGGAAACTTGAAGTGGTTGCTTCTTCATGGAGTTTCCTTGGTGGATATGAGATGCAGAAGCAAAGGCATGGAGGTGGTGGGGGGCACACATACTAAAGAAAATAAATAAATAAACAAACAGATAAATAAATAAAAACAGCAGGCACCAAAGGAAAAATAAAGCAGCCTGACAATATATCCTCTTTACCACTGTGGCTGGTGTGTCATGTTAGTAAGTGACCAACTTACTTTATTCTCTGAGCACGAATGCCTGCATGTAACGTTTCCATAATGGAGAAAGGAGGTTTTGCATCTATTCCATTTACCACGTGTGTGCTTCCTTTGTAAGAAACTGATGTACTTTAGTGAGGGTAAGCAAGGCAAACAAACACTGCCAGAATTATTAGGACCACACAGAAAAACATTTCTCACTTACAAAGAAAACCAATAATTGCTTCCCGTATGAAAGAAACCATTTCTGTAGCTCAGACTGAGACACATCTTCGCAAGCGTACTCACAGCATGTGAGACTGACACCACTTCGATGCAAAGACACGAAAAGTCTTTCCACAAACTCCCCATCCTGTTTTATTTTGCGTAGCTACTGCAATCAACAATTTCAAATTTTGAAAAGGTATACTTCTTGATTCTGCTTCATTTGATATAGACATAAAATGCAAGGTCAGCAAAATAAAGTTTATAAAAGCAGTAATTTCTACTGGTAATAAGCATAATGGAATTGCAAAAATTAGAATCTAGTCAGTGAATACAATTTATATACATATATCATTATATTTATCAATTGAAATTATATAGTCCATTAAATCCGACTGACAATACACAGCCAAAAGAGAACGTGAATGATGGCAAAAAAAATATATATGTATACAAGGAAACTATTCCAGACAGAATTTATAATGCTCCATAAGCAGAAACACTTAGACGCTGTCTATAAGGATACCTATTATTGATGTATGGTAGTGACCATCGGGCAAAACTTGTAAATAACCTCACAAGCCATTTTCTTCGCCAGCAATACAGCAATCTAGTTTCCCGTAAGCGTCTCAACTATTACTGAAAAATAGCCTCCTGGCATTTACAAAGCAGTTGACTTCATACTTTAGTCCATGCATATATAATTAGAGAGTTATATTTAAAATCAATATGCAATCCTTCAAAAGACATTATGCTTTTAAAACCTTAACTTTAAATTGATTTTTAACTATTTTATGTGCTTTGAAATTAGCATGTAATTCAGCCCTAGACACTCTGAGATGGTGTCAATTGTTATATAAATGTGCTGAAGTTTATCACTGAGGTAATGCGAGGTTGGTGCTCCTACAACTTTTAACACTACCATTAATCTCACACTGAAAATAGAAGCATAGTTATACTTTAGTCTAATGAAAAAGCCAGCTTTTAATAATACCATGGTTTGGTGCATTTTAGTTAGGGGCCCAGATCAGAGAATGCACATGTAAAAAGCTATGTCCTAGTTAGCTACTCAGTATTCTTGCAAGAGGGCTCTGCTCAAAGATTATACCAAATCCTAACTGTGTCTTTAGGAAAGAAAATAATTTTCTTTGCAAAAAACTTGAGCTAGGTGTGACAATACACAGTCACAATCCCAGCACAAAGGAAATGGAGGAAGGAGGACTGGGAGCGTAAGGTCAGCGTGGACAATATAGCAAAACCATGTCTCAAAAAATGTTTTTGTCTCTAAGTCTTTGTGAAACTAGAAAGTTATAAGTAAATATACACACATACAAACATATATAGGCACACACAGATATATTAACACATATATGTGCACATGTGACTATGAATACACACATATATGTGGATATGCACACACATATATGTTCACGTGTGAGGATGCATGCACACACAATCAGCTTGCAAGAGTATCCAACAAAAATTCGGACTGGTTATCACTGAGACACTGCTGGCCCCTGTACCATCCCTGCTATCAAAATCTAGCCTAGGACGACTGTGTTTTTAAATGATTTCCACCAAAAATTATGAGTATTGTTTAAGAAAGTACCCTTTCCCCTAAAGTGTCATCCAAATTCTCACTGTTGTGCCATTTTGTTCACCAGTAACCTCTACTGAAACCATTCCCATTCACCGAGCCTAATTTTAAGAAGGAAGCATAAGTCCTCAGGCATCTCGGTGGCTTTAAGAACAAATGACTGGATATCTGCTCTCATAGCCTTCAAGTCGGTCCCAAGGGAAAAATCAACACAGTCTCTCTTAAACTGTTTATTAGGGGCCCAAATGACAGTGCAGATTGCAGTAAGTATTAAAGCAAGGAGAATCTACTGCCCTTTAAAATGTGGTGGTCGGTCTCTAGTTGCATTTGAATAACATCAGCCTTTAATTCTACATTCAAAATTTATTCTAGAACACTCAACTGAATTTGGCTCATGTTCAGTGGAACTTGGTTATATTTTAAAAAATGGCCCCTGGGATGGTTAGATACATTCCAAGACAGTGTGTTACCTGCCTAATGACTCTGCACCTTTAAACTCATTGAAAACCAAGCAGTTTGAAATAAGCAGGCGGATGGGCATTGGCTGAGCTGACACCTTCCTAGGGCCTAGCTGATCTCTCCTAAGCGGCAGAAAAGAATGGTCTGCAGTGACCCTCCAGTTGATGGAATGTAAAATAGGAGAGTATGAAACGTGTTTTGTGAAGCAGAACTTTATGTCAGGTTAAAGCTAGACACATCTCCTCCACTGCGTCTAAGCTCGTCAATTGTGCACCTAAAATTTTATGGGGAAGGATACTGCTTGATGCAGTCCACCAGCGGTCCGTAGCAGCAGTCGTTCACAATGCACTGCGGACAAATAAGAGACGGGTTATAGGCTGGGGTGACTACAGCACCACCAAAGTAAACATTCTAAAAGCAGTCATTACTCCCCCCGATACCCAAAGAAAGCTATCAAAAGGCTATTCAGATTTAATCACAGAAAACAAAAATTGCACGCTTTTTATTTACTATAAAAGCAAGCTATTAAAAAGTAAAAATGCTCTCCCTGAAAATACTGTGTTGCCATTTATGGTGCGCCCTGACCTCAGTGATCGTTTATGATGACAGTAATTAAATGAGGTTTAAAATCCTCTACTCGGCCAGGCAGATAAGAGCATCGTCCCTGAAAACAGCTGTGATTAATACCTGATAGACCTGGTTGGCTAGAACTCCATCTGGAATCTGAGAAGGGTCCCGTAGCATGTTATTGATAACAGACTTGGAGGCTGTAGAGGAAAAGGAGGAACTATTAGTAGACAGTCGACATGCTTCTGTGTCACGTGACACGAGAAGTGACATACACTGAAGTACACACAGAGCACGCAAAGGAAAACAGCGCCGATTCTCATCGTTTCCCCGAGATTCTCATCTAAGAGAAGCTTCTAATTAGACCACTTTTGCCAAGTATTTGTAACTACATTGCCAGATTTGACAGTGACCTGATTTTTTCCAAGGTAAATTAACAAGTGTAGACCTAAAGCATATGTCTATTTGCAGACTAATCAGCTTGGGAAAAGCCAACTTTGGGGGGGAAAAAAAAACCCAACAGCAATAAGCAGAAAAGATTTAACTTTTACAGGTAGAGATCTTATTCCCAAGGACCTATACATGCACAAGTTAGCTAGGGCAGGCCAGACTCACAGGCTTCGCTAATGCCAATATAAACATTTCTCAAAACTAAATCTGTCCAAAGTAATTCCCATCAAGTGCCAACAGTTGCTATGTCCATTTAACAGGTGAGGAATATGAGAACTACAGGTTAGACAGGTTTATATCTGTGAGAATCTGAAATGAGGAAAAAATATGTGTGTGTTGTGTTCTCGTATCCATTATTCACAGGACCCCTGACAGAGACCATATTCTACAGATGTTCAATTTTCTTACGGGAAACATTACAATATTTTTATATAATGTACCCCACAATCCGACGTATACTCTGTCTTTAGATTGCTTGTAATCTAACTCAATACAAATGGCAGGCAAATTGTTGTTATACTGTCTTTACTGAATAAGGAAAGTCTGCATGTATTGAATACTGATACAATTTTCTCCCATGCATTTCTTATTAGTGGTTGGTTGAGTCCCATGTGTGGGACTTATGAATATAGAAGGTCTGTCATTTGGGGAGGGGAGGATGGATAGGAAGTAGATATATTTTATATGTAAACAATTTTTTCCATCCCAAATATGTCTCATCCACCTGCAAACTAGTCTGAAACACCACGTTAGAAGAAAGGTAGAATGGAAAGCTTCAAGAAAAGGGTGTATGTGCTGTGCAAAGCTATGAAAACTGCGTAGAACATCCTGGTCCTCCTTTGCTCCTGGTGCAAGTCAATTCTGTCAGAATCCTCCTGTGGAATCAACCTCAGATATTCAGTAAGATGGCTTAGGGCACGGCCCATGCAGGAACTGTTTGAATGCCTCTTGTGCAATTATCTAGTTAAGAAAGTTGGCAAAGATCACAGCTGTGTGCCATCAGAGCACCTGGATAATTTTAAACCTCGCTTTTACTATCAGACTCTCTATAAATTTCAGTGGCCTTGGGACACTAGCAGATATGAGATATGATAGTAAACACTGTGGAAAGAAATAAGACTTCTAGCTACATGATTTTATGCTTACAGCATCACTGATACATGTAACAGAAATTTGCAAACACATCTTTGCACTGATAAGGAGAGCCCATATGGAATCTCAAAAGAGCACCACTAGCAATCTTACCCAGTCCTGTCTTACCACCAGTTCTGCAAACTAGCGAACAGTGTGGCCACTTGCATTCAGTGACTTCATCTGTAAGAAGTGATGTTTTTATTTGAGTTGACTGCTCTAAAGAGTTCTCATGTGAGTCTCTTGAGAAAACAGCTGCCACATCATTTTGTTAAAGTTCAAGTAGTAGTCTGAACCAAATGAGACTTAGACATTCACTGCGTTTTATAAACTTGGGCTATACTCAATTATTTTTGACAGAAATTACCATGGATAAGTGGTATGGATACTGAGAATATGAAACAGTAACCCATCACCTTACTTAGGAACAGATGATGTGGCAACAGGACTAAGAAGACCATAATGTGCCTGGTGAACCTGCCCACTTTCCCTAGCATAATTCGAAAGCCTAGCCAGATGGTAGAGATCAAAGCAGTTGTTCACATGTGTGGTCGCCTTCTCTGGGAATACTTCCTTTGGTCTGCCACTCATTCGCAGATGCAAATGGCACATGTATCCTTCTATGTTACCCGGGGAAACAGCAGCCTTCTCTGTGCACACCTGGTCATGAGGTACAAAGGTGTTGCAATGTAAATTCATGCCCATGTAAAGAAAACAGTGTTTATAGGCAAGTGTGACCCAAAGTGCTAGCCAGTGGAAAATTACTGTCTTCTTAACAAATTGCATGCAAACCCACTGCTCAAATAAATTTTAAAAGCTCTTTTTCGACCAGAGAGTCAATGTCCCAAGATCTGAGAAATGTAGGTCATTTATTTTGAGGGAGAAAAAGGAATATGTCAAAAAGGGAAGTAATGGCTTTAATTTCATCATAGTATAAACCTTTGAAAGGTGCACTTCTCAGGATTCAGTACCATAGTCTACAAACTTTCTAAAAAAAAATCAGTTGAGGGTTGGGGAGATGGCTTAGTGGTTAAAGTGCTTTCCATGCCAGTTTGAGGGCCAGAATTTGGATACTCAGAACCCATGGAAATGTTCCATGAATGTGGTGGCCAAAACAGGAGACCCTCAGAGTGAAGGGGCTAATAAGACTAGCCAAGCCAGATTGGTGACCACTAGGTTTCATTAGAAGGCCCGTGAACAAAGTGAAAGAACAATTGAGGATGGTCTCCAACACCAAGGTGGGGCTTTCATACATATATGTGAAAACAGAAGAAAAAAAGGCACTTTAATGTGTTGAAGAGAATATTACAAAAACAAAGAACAAAAAAAGAGAGAGAGAGAGAGAGTTAGCTGATTTTAATTAAAAAGTAAAACCTGCAAATTGAGGTGTACTAATAGGGGTTGGGCATCCCAACCCCTAAACCTAAGGTTCAAGGAACACTGTGGAAGAGGAGGTGGAAAGTCTGTAAGAGTTAGACAAACAGGTTGTCTGCTGTGCTATAGTGCCCTCTAGACATGACAAGGATGCTGTACCCATCACATCTCAGTACTATGGCTGCCCAAAGAAGACCTACATAACAGACACACATGCCAACATGGACCAGTGAATTTCTCAAGGCCATACCCCTAGATGAAGAACTCCAGGTAGTCAGTGACTACTGAGTGAGAAAGAACCAGTTTTCTCCAGGTGAGCCACTTCATAGGCTCTCTAATTCTATGTGGTCGGCTCTATACATGTGTTTATAGAAGCAGCACATACTGGGCACAGTGTGCCTCCAGACTTTTTAACCATGGAGACAGAAAGCCTTTTCCTCTCCCTGATGCCTTGCACTGTAGTAGATACATCTCTCCTTTCTATGAAGAAGGCAAAAAATAAGAATTCAACCCACTTGGAGGCATGGCCACATGAACAGCAGAGGGCAGGCATTGGATAAAGCATGTCACAAGAGATGGCAGTAATGTTTCGACTGAAGCAGAATGCTCAAGACTGTGGATTTGTTCATTATAGAATGCTTCTAACATAAGCAATGTACAAAATCAGTATAACAAATACTGACAGTACCATCAGTCTTCCCTACTACGTCTGCAAGATGAACTAATCTCTGAGAACAGAGATAGGAATTTACAGCACAGCTTGACCTTTTATCTACTTAACAGAATAATGATATTAGATTCATGCCTAGGTACGTGATCTCCATAACCTTGGATTTTTGCTCAGATTTACAGTACTAGATATGTGTTCCCTCCTGTGGAGTAAGGCTTAAGTTCAACCAGAAAGTGGTTGGTTACCACCCTAACATCCATGCCACTATTGCGCCCATGAGCTTTTCTTGCCAGACTTATCACTACTATAGTTTGCGGAGTTCAGAACTGCATAAATTAAGACCTTCGATGACCTCTTCTCCCCAGCAGCCTATATAGCACCTCCTGATGCTATGAAAGGTAACCAACAGGGAGGAAACTTCCTGGTTAGTACCAACATGAATCTTCCATGTCCATGACCAATGTAATTACTTTCCCTTATGGGTTCACACACACACACACACACACACACACACACACACACACACACACAGAGAGAGAGAGAAGGGGGCAGTTGTTTTCCATCTTAGAGGAAAGCAGAGTGGTGAAGAGCTCTACTGCTGAGATATATCCTTAGTACTTTCTACGTTTTCAAACAGTTGCTTCTTAGTTCTTTAGTTTTATCAACCATTTGTCAATTTGTTTTTCAGCTTCCTGAATCCTCTTGTCCATTCCCTTAGTTTGGGTTCTCTGCAGTAAACAAACATTAAGTTTGGACTCAAATCCACCACTGTGCTGATCTCTTCCTAATCTCTTTCTCTTTCCCTGATACGTCACAATCTACGGGTGTATATTGTAAGTAAGTGCTCCCCTAGGAAACTAAAAAAACCTTTCTGATCTTTTTTTTTAATGATTTAATCTACATGCAGACGTTCAATTCAAGGTCTAGTGACCTTCGATTATTCTGTCTGTGAAAGAGAGTAAAACAGGCATACAGGACAGTTGTGAAGGTTAAATAAAGTAACCCCATAAAGCACTTCCTCTGACTGAGACTTGGGTTTTTCTATTGCTTACATGCTGGTTCCACTGTTGTTTGATAGTGTGTGTCAGCAAGCACAGTATTACTGTCTACTGTGGAGTAAGTCAAAAAAAGAAAAAGAAAAAGAAAAAGAAAGAAAGGAAGAGAGGAAGAAAGGGAGGGATGGAGGGAGAGAGAGGGAGGAAGGAAGAGAGAGGGAGGGAGAGAGGGAAGGAGAGAGAGAGAGACAGAGACAGAGAGACAGAGACAGAGAGAGAGACTGATTTCATGAGGTCCTCATGAAGTTAACAGTGTGATCCTAATGTATAGAGTACCATGGTCATAGACATAGCCAAGTGAATCTGCTCAAAAGCCAATCAGGCAATATTAGACTAGCCTTTAAATCATACACACAGATACACACACACACACTTTTTTGGCTAAACCGCACAGTTCACTATCGAAAGAACTGTAAGAGTATCTTCTATTCTTCTATATGTGTTCTCAATGGGGTTGGCCATGTTTGTCCACAGCCATGTAGGAAAGGATTCTTTTCTCTTCCTAGCTAAGGGCATATAT